GTAACCCAAGTGACTAGGCAAGGAAATACAAGCTTCAATAGCCATTCTGGCCTTTCCCTTACAATAGTATGACAAATATGACAACAACTGGCACTTGTCAGACAGTTTACTCTCTATAATGCTTGTAAACTGACTAATAAAACGGTGGTACTGTCTTGGTTTTCCGTCAAAAAACATCATATCGATCTTAGGCAAAACCGTATTATTAACCGTAGCACGTAACGTGTCCTTTAATTCATCAATACAATCGCATTTTGAGGTGTTAATTACCTTATTACGCTCAATATCACAATCCAAGTACCTTTCCACCTTAGAATTTATCTCAGCTTTGTCTACTGACAGTTGGTTATCGTTTTCTATGACATTACATTCTAATTCAGCCATAGCAACCTCCTCTTGAAGATCTAACATTTTAAGCTGCTTTTCTAACTCAAGTCTCCTTTCCAAATTCTTCTTCTTAATTAATGCCTTATCTAACTTCAATCTTGAAGTACTAAACTGAGATGAAGACTTACTATTAACACCAATATCGTCACGTTTATCATCATTAAAATCAGACATACCACAAATTGCTTTAGAATCTTTACCATCCATTTCGTCATTTTCCTTCGGCTTTTTGCTTCTGGTTTCCATTGTATGCGTTTGTTCGAAAATCGGTTACCAAGCAAATGTGAATTGATCCAAATGAATTGAAGTACAGTATGTCGATCTATTTGCAATTCACGAACCCAAATTAACAACAGAACCAAACTCCAAAGTGAGGTACCAAAGTCTATTCGCAATTCACAAATAGTCGACCAAAATGTCGTTCTAGCAACAATAATTACAATAACTACAAAAACTTTCAATTTTATAGGTTCCTGGAGCGAAAACTCCCAATCAGCAAACCAAGACAAACAGAAACCAAAATGTCCGAAAATAATAAATCAAACAAGTTCATAAGTTAAGTGAAACAAATATACCAAAAAACAGTGAAACTAGTGATATTTATATAAAGGTTTTAATCAGTCAAATGTCTTCATTTCTCCCGTAACAATGATTATAATCTTGATGTCATTAATGAGTCAAATGAGTTGTGGACGATGATGAAAGCTGATCAAACCCCCTATGTACTAGGAGATGGAGAATCAAATCTTGTTTCTACATTATGCCATTCGGATTCTTCAGGAGGCGAGGAACTGTCGAAATTGGAGATTATACCCTTGCGTATTATTTATGGGCCAAGGACTTCTGTTGATAAGTCGGAATCATTGACTGCGTCGTGTCTGCCGTTTGGGGCAAGTGGTGGTGAACTGACGATTCATCCTCATTATAATAAGGAGAGTAAATTCCGAATAGGATGTGACCAGCCCTACGACGTGTCATACATGTTCATGTGGTTTAAGTGGATGAAGTTTATACGACCTTTAGGTCATTCTGCGATAGATAGAGGGATCAAGAACCTGATTGAAGGGTACAGGTACATAGTTAGCTTGAGAGGTTATATCCAGGAGATGGAGAGTTGAATATTGTTCCTATGTTATGCCACCTAGAGTCTTCGGGAGACGAGGAAACGTCAAAATAGGAAATCCCACGCTTGCATATAATCTATGGTTCAAGAGCTTCTGTTGATAAGTCAGCATCACGGGCTTCATCGTATTTGCTGTTTGGAGCAATGGGTGGTGGATTGACGAATCATCCCCATGAGGTGGAAGGTAAATCTCTAAGAGGATTCGACCAGCTTTACGACGTGTTGTACATGTTCGTGTGGGTTAATTGGATAAGGCTTATACTACCGTTGGGTCATTCTGCGATAGATAGAGGGATCAAGAACCTGATTGAAGGGTACAGGTACATAGTTAGCTTGAGAGGTTATATCCATGTTGAAGGGCGAGTAGGCGTACTGCTGTAAGTCTTACTGGTTCTCCTGGTGTGAATTAGGTTATGAGAGTAAACCATGATTTGAGGCATTGAAAGGGCTTTGCTTTGTATGGAGGGATTTTGCGGGCCGGTGTAGAATCCATTTTGAAGGCTTTGTTTTGGGAAAATCCCTCCATGTACTTATTTGTTATATGATCTTACCGACTCTTTCGAAGCTACATTTTGGTACTCTGTTTAATCTCACTTTGTGATGCTAATATCTGTATTTTGTTTTAGTTTCTATTTTTTGTACCTTTATTGGAGCTTCTATGTTTTCTACTGAACCTTATTATGTTGTTTAAATTGATACTTAATTATGGAGTCAGCCCTGTATGGAAGCATTCTTCCAGAATTGAAAACACATTGTGCTAAATTCGACAGAGAACAGTGTAATATTGTTTAGGTAACGTTTTGTAAATTTTAATTAATAATCGAACCATTTCTTACCCAGATTAATTGGGAAAGGCGCGTATCTAAACTTCTAGAACTGTTCTTCCGAATTTAGAGACCACTCAAAAGCCCTTACAGTTCTAAACAATATCTGAAGAAGAAGAAGGATATTTTAATTATTCCATCCTTTAACAATAATTTAAGAAGATAGAACCAGTGAATTCTAAATTCTGATCAATATTGGTAGATTGGAGTCTAAAACCCTAGGCAATATCACTAATTTGGAGTTTATTTTTCCTTAATTGCAGGTATTACAATGAATTCTCGTAAGAAGAAGTCAAACTCAAGTCTAGTTGGAAGCCATGAAGACAAACTGAACTACGAATCCTTTGTCATAAATCAAGTGCCTTTTAACGCCCTTAGTCTATATGGTTCACTCTCAGATCGGAAAGACCGTAATAATAGCATATTTTTTCGTTAGCCGTTGTTAGAGGGCACTACAAATTGTAGTTTGAATGATAATCTTAGAGTGCCTGGAAAAAATTTGATGTCTATAGCGCCGGTTATAGTCAGAGAACAGTGTAATATTGTTTAGGTAATGTTTTCTTACCCAAATAAATTGCTTTCTATTACGATTACCTGGGAAATGAGCGTATCTAAACTTCTAGAACTGTTCTTCCGAATTCAGATACCACTAAAAACCCTTACAACTTACCGCCAACGCATATTGTCATTTGACTAACTTCCAGATTGACAGTTTAAATAGTTCAATGGCAATGTCAACCATATACATTTGTATTAAATCCGATATTTGTATCAATCATCAAGTGATTTGAATAATAAAGAATTTGTGGCAACCACCCACGTTCTATAGTGACGGTCGTCAAGACAGCGATGTACGGAAGTTAGGAGATAAAGAAAGTGCGCCGTCGCAAAATTGGTGAGCCCGACGAAAGAACGCAACGCCGTTTCCTATGAGTCTGAATGAATCCGTCTCCGTTTCCATTCAATTTATTACTGTGGATTTTAATCGCACATTATCACTGTCGTATTTTCATTACACGTTTATTATTTCACTCACATTGTTGAGAATAGTTTGACAATATTACCAATTTCAAGTGGTGATATTATAGGTTATTTGTTATTTCTTATCATTTCTTGTTAACATTATTATTGTCTATCTACTTTCCTTCCCTTATTCATTAGTTGATTTACTTGTGTAATACTCATTGTATATAAATATGTCTTCAGATAACGGCACACTGATTCTTCTACATGTGGCGTTCGAGAGGTCGCTTAATCTATCTATTCCTCGTTTTCCGGTCACCGACCCACAACTTTGGTTTATTAGGCCTGAAAGTTACTTTCAGTTAACCGTCTTAGTTGACAACGAGATAAATTCGACCGCACATACACACTACTTCCGGATGAAGTAGCACATAGCGTTCTTGATGTTTTATCTAAATCGGACTCCGAAAAGCCATTTGGCTGTGATAAAGGCTGTCCCTCTAACCGGTCAACAGGTCCTAGACAGACTCTACACCCAAGCGGAACTAGATGACAGCTAAAAAATTACATGATCAGCATAATGGGGGACGGGCAGATAGACAGAAGCATATTGTATCAGTACCTTATCCACAGAGGCATCTCACTTCAGTCGATTATGCAATCGGAGGGCCGAAAAAAAGGGATCAGTAATATATCTCAAAAACTGTCCGGGATGAATTTGAAAGAGAGATCGAAAAGACGACCACGAAGTAGGTTGCTCGATAAATATCGATCACACTCTCGGAGACGCTCAGCACCTACGGTATGCTGGTAACACCAGACATATGGCAACCAAGCTAGAAAGTGCAAACCGCCCTGCAGGTTCAAAATAATACAACGGGGAAACGTTCCTGCCGGATGCCAGTAACGACTGCGACTACTGACGCAGCTCCTAAAAAGCAGCTGTCAGTTTTACATCCAGGACAGAATAACAAATGCTCAAATTTCGGTAGACACAGGAGCGGAAATAAGCGTCATGCCTCTTGTGAGCAATGAACGAAAAAATAGTAATATGGCACTGACGATTAATCTGCTCAGTAGATCAGACACAAAATCATGCGGCAAGCGAAAAGTAAGTTCGGATTTCGGTAAAAACATGTCGCTTCGCGAAGGGTTTGTTAGAGCGGATGTATTCATGCCTATAATTGGTATTGGTTTCGAAAGAATTTCGACTTATTAGTAGATTCCCGAGATAAAGAATGTCCGCCACCACACTACCATAGACATAAGTTCGAAGTCATACACTCATCGGTAGTAACTTATTTTACCAATATTCAACGAACGTTCATTTGTCGCATCTGTACACAGCAATCATTGTTCTCCATTTTTCCAGCAATGATCTCTAACGAACATCCTTCATATTCCTACAGCCACTTGCTTTAATGTCGATACATTCATTAAAATTCTTCTTATTTATTCACGCCTATGTAATTTAATGTTAAATTTGTTACTGTTGAACATTCCACGATTACTGAAATTTTCACAATACTACAAATCAGAACTTAACGTTAACAAAAACATTGGTTACAACTGGTTACCATTGCGTAGACGCATACACAAGTGATAAAATGGCTCACTAACGAATTGGTCATGAATTGATGTTCACCGTTACACAATTGGCTGACGCACAAAAATCAAGCACAGAAACAGAAGATTTCGAGAACTTGCACAAAAATGAATTTATTTGACCAAAACACCGAACACATTTCCAAAAGATCATGTGTATTTAAAATGGTATGAAATACTTAGTTTTCTCATTAAACGCATCAAACAGGTCGGTATGGTCTACCCGATGCCACATCGCCTCTGAAAAGGACAAGAAAGATAGACACTTAGCAACTGGATCTATATAAGTGATTTAGTCTTCTTACTGAATTCGGAGAATCAACGTTTGTTCACCGAAGTGTGATTGACACCAACTTCTGTTGATAATATTTGTTAGAAGACATGCAAATATATTGAAGATCAAATCACACAAAGCAATCCAGACAAAGATATTCGTCATGTAAACAGCAGAATTAGAAAATAGTAAATCATATCTTTTGACAGTCGTGCGAATCAACGTGTTTTTCGAAAGGTCAGAAGACTCGTTTTCGAAAGATTCACATTTGTGTGATCGTTGATTAGTTCACACCTGACCAACATTCACAGTCTACTCCATCACTTGTCAATCGGTAGGAAAACTTTGACGATAATTTTTGAAATGTGACTACCTTGGTCCTGTCACTCGTTGGTGACCCATGCTCAATATCTGATATCTTTTTCAAGAGCTGGTATAAACCGACTGATTTGTTTGTGCTCAATTCTTGTGCTTCCGGTACGGTTCCAGGTGTTTGGCAGTGTTCAATGGAGGGAAGTCTAGTCACTGGACTGCAGTTAATGTAGTCAGTTGACAGTTGTTTGTGAGTTTGTTTGTCTCATGATTTGTATGGATATGTTTGTTTCTGAGCAGTAAAGTACCTAGATACCAGCAGGTGTCACGTTACCAGGCCAGAGGTCACTTGGTTGCGATGTGCGAAAAATAAAGAGAAAATTCCAATGCTAAGGAGTTTTCAGAACTAAACAAATAAATGAATAATTCAGTTTATTAAATGGTAGTGAAGATTGTGCGAAAGAACTGAAGAGTAATCAAGGGAGGGGAAACAGAGATAATAAGAGAGTAGGATTAATTTAGTGATTTTGGGGAGATGTGAATGTCAACACCTAGCGGGTCTCAAAACATGCATCAAGAACAGCTGGTCCACGGAGAGATGATGATCTGTGTGTGAGTACGTGGTTATCAAGTCCATTCGGCTGGCATAGTTCAAAACTGTTTTTCACTGCCCATTCCCCAATGGATGTGAAGTCCTTTTGGAGCTCATTCGAATCCTCCCTACTCTATTTACCTTGGTGCGAAACGTCCTGTTCTCAAGGTTATGAGATATGATGGACGAGTCAGCCGGGAAATGCTAGTTGCCGTGGTGGTGTGAAAGCCCGTGCAATGTGACAGTATTCGCCAATTATGCAGGTCATGCGTGTAAACTTCGTCCAAGTTACCACCAACCAGTTTGAGCACGCCATGAACTACCATAGTGGTTTGCCCTTGGGTGCCCTGTGATGTCCTGGCTACTGCTCTAACTGACCACGGCTTATCATGTCTGACTGGGATCGTAAAAGACGACATAACCGATGGAGATCTTCGGCAAGTTTTGTCCAGTCTCAAGTAACCCTCATCAGAGAGGGTTTCCCATTTGTGACGTTCTGGCCTTTGAAAACACGGCATATTTTGGCCAGAGTACTGCACGTTCAGAAGATTGCACAACACTTGCCCCAATGTTCTTTATCAAAGGCAGCCCTACCCTCTAGTAAGCTACCCTCCGACACCGGAACAGTAACAGACTGGATATCCACATACAATGAAACATACAATGATCCATAATGTTATCGAACTATTCTAGATAGAAAATTGGTCGATAAAATTATCGGATAATTTCAACCACTGATCACTGTAGTACATTCAGTGAATGATGAGATGCTACACTCGCTAGGTACCGTAGTGTCACAGTGACAATGGACCTATGTACTACCGAAAGTGCATTCGAAATCAGAGTCACTGGTGATATCCGAAACCGGATTGTTTCCGGTAGATGTTGGGAGGCCAACGAGGCAACATCAATGTGACATCCAAATTAGTTCAATATTAGTCGTGTGGTAAATAAGCAGTTGTTGTCGCCAAATTGAAAATCCACCGGTAACAAACAATCGGCCAAGTAACAACGAGAGTTGGTCGGTGAATAAAGTGAAACGACCAGACTGCATGCTAGTAGAGTGGATGACAAATAATGTTCAAACAAACTCTGGTTCAACAGTGACGAAAACGTTACTCAAATTTAATTAGTATGTAAATAAGTTTATGACTGCGGTAAAACAGATTGTAAACCACTCAGCTGAATCCGATCAAACGTGATATATACTCACCCAGGACCATAATAGCACACAAGCCTGAATTTAAATCCGGATTTGCTGCACTCTGAAATACCACATCCAACATCGGTAGTATTTTCCCAAACAAGCTGAAATGAACAATTGAACGGTTGGAGGATTAGAAAAGTGAATTTAATGTGAGCATAGTTCGATCTCAACTGGACACTGATGTCCTCGCCTCACAAAGTAATGTCCGTGTCTATCGTACTGACGAGTTGCATGAATGTGAATCGGTCGATGAACGGATAGAAGAAAGGTAAGTTACCATTATCAGTCAGTCTGTTAGGCAGCTAGTAGATTTTCAATCCATATTTCATATTTCCTGACATCCACTAGACAAACTAGCGCATCGTGGCCTATCTCAGGATTCCACAGACAGACTGTACTACATTGATCTTGACTGCATTGATTGCAATTCAAAATAAACACCAATGACGAACGACGTCGTTTGGAATGATAAGAACTGACTCATATGAGTCTACCATTAATGAGAAAGGAAGTCATGATAGCGCACTCAACACACCTCTTTATCACATTACCAATTAGGCTTCAGGCTATTCAGGTCAAGATGATGATGTGAGCTTACTGTGAATTTCTGAAATCAACAGTTTGAACTCATTTCCCCACTATAAAAATACGATGAGGTAAGACAACCACGGTACCATTTAAAAGTAGACTTGCATAAGTAAAGTAGACAAATACAATCAATAGTCATCTTGGCAGGGTCACAAATGTACTTGAAATATGCAGTATCCACCAAATGACCGTACACTTTTTTCATGTCACACTTTACATGTCTATCATTCACATAACTCATAAGTAGAAGGGTGCAGAAACAAAGAGAAAGTTCATCGAACCAAGTCTTGATCAATTAGACACTGGAACAGGGAGCATGTCTACTCAACCGAGTATACTTTATATTTGCATAGATACGATGGTGAATATTTGGATACCACATTTAGCTTTGCTAAGCTTATTCACGGTGCTGTCAGAATGCAACGACTCAGTGACGACATGACTTTTCCTGAAGTAGTTGTTTAAGAAGAACGCTTTGTTGTTATCCTAGTGCTTACCTGCTTATAACGACCACAATATCTATCCGGACGACAGGTGTTCGTGCTGAAGTTGAAGTTCACCATTTCGTAAAACCACACTTGAAATGCACTTGATATGAATGAACAAATAACAAACAATGGAAACATGAATTTCGAACATTTAAACAAATCAGCAATTGATTACAAGAATAATATCGAATGTTTAGAGGCAAACGATAAAGATCTGATTAGACAGATATCAACTTTGACGAATATTGAAAATTAAGCAAAGGGTAGGATTTTCATGATGCACTTAGACTGAAAAGATTTATACAGTGAATCATCGATTCTTAGGTATGCAAGTGTTCACCAATTTGTGGATATCCATGGACCTTCAGGTGTATTCATCACCATATTCAATCAAGCTCATCACTGTATCTAGCTGACGTGATACGCACAACAAACTCTCATTAATCTCTAACTCTGTTGAATTCAATGAACTCTAAGTAGAGAAACAATCTGATTTCTCTTTTCGTTACAGCCACTTCAAAGCATTTTTCTATCGTTCTTATTCCTTCATTATTCATTTCTCATTGTCGAGTGGGCGTTTTATTTACCTCCCCAATTTCTCAATCGTAAATTCACACAAACAGTGATGAGTGCAATCGTTCAAAAGAGCATATTGGCAAAGGTTTGTCTTCAGTGTGCATAGTTCACTCTTACTATGCCGATATTGAGTGGTTTCAAGAACAAAACCAGACTGAAACAGAGTAAGTATGGTTACGATGATGGCTCACTTCAATTAGATGAATAGAAGCCTTGAAATTAATGCATTTTAAGTGTTCGAAATTCTATAAACTAAGGTAATTTACACGTGACAGAAAACACATTATACCTACTCTCTTATACGAGACGTTCCAGCCCCGTTGTGTCCAACATATGTGAATGCCGGTGTTTTCCGATCCTCAGCACGATTATTTGTATTTAGACACTGATCTGATAAATTTTGTGCTGACCGTTCCAAAATCATATTCCATTTCTGCAAATATTGATTTATTCACTTGTTAAGCATCAGTGGAAATAATGGAACAATGTCAAAGGATATTTGTTATCGTCAGTTTACTTTGTCAACCAGTCATTCAAAAACTGAAACAAATACTTTACTTGTTACGAATCGATACGGATTATGTAGGAGTGAGCGTTAGGATATTTGTGTCAAGAATGGAAATATCACACCTGTGAAGATTGTTGGAATCTCCTGCATTGACTTACTTCAGGAGAGTGACAGCGAGATAAATGAACGTATCGTTCACAGAGTAAAGAAAGGTATACAATACTAATGCAACCTAAGTCGTAATGTGTGAGTAGCAGTAGACCGCCCAATATGATAACTTCTTCAGTAAACCACATCGAACGGAAGCAAACCGGATGCAATAGCGAATTGTCAATGCTTCTTGGAAGCGCAGGCTCAATCTAAGTCTTTGGAATACTTAGTAAACTATTCTTCCCCACTGATGCAATTCAATATGCAGAATCTCCTAGTAGTTATACTCAAAACTGTTCATCAATCGTGAAGCCGTCTAATTTTAACAAGAGAATCTAGCTCCTAGGGATTGGGTTTTGTGGAAATCGATGATATCTCAGTAGACACCTCCAAGTTCCTCAATCATATGACATATGTTTTGCGACTGAAGTAGTTTTCAACTATTGTTTGAATATTACAGAGCTGTGCTATGTGTTTTCTGGACCGTGGTAAGGGCTGGTTTCAAAAAGTCTGCTCAATAAAACGAAATCAGGCTTATTAGAAGTTCAACATCTAATTTATCGATTGATCACCTTTGTTGATAGACAATGTATAGAATTCAAAGAACGTATTCTACAACAGCTTATTATTTTCAGTCAATGAGTAAATCAGCAGACCAAACCGAACATCACCACTACATTCTTGTCTCCAACAATCTATGGCATTCACTTAATAAAATATCTACCTACAAACAACTGAATAACACACTTTAAATGTACTGTGGGCAGAATGGTACTTACGCCAAACAATTTAAATCAATGAACACTCTTCTTACCAGTAGTCCCATGCATTTGGCAGCAGTTTGATTACGAATCAAACCATAATATGCAAGTTGTCTTACTACATTGTGCATATCTAACAACTCATTTCTAATTGTATCATTCATCGTTGCACGAACATCAGAAGACGTCAATATATATATCAGCAGTGCAACTGTTGAAAAGTTGAATTTGAAAGACATTTGAAAAATTCTGTACTTTCACTGCTTTTCTGCATTACAACCAGCCACATATTTGCTAATATATACAGTATGAGGTCATCGTGGTTGCGCACATGTCAGTCATTTACATGACTATAGGATTATTTCGGAAGTATATTAATCGTTTGGATAATCGTCTAAAAATAGGCGGAACCATATGATATTATCAGGATATTCTTAACAACCATGTCCTTACTTATTCTCTTTGACCAAATATGGAAAGAACACTAAAACGGATTATTAGTTTGTGAGATCGTAGATCATAATTGACTGTTGTTTTGAGCCAAAATATCTAAATAATGTAATGATCGGGAATAATATGCTGTTCTAGAATAAGTTGTTTGTATTTCAGCAACGATTAATAGTCGACAAATTAGATGTTGTTACGAAAATGGAATCTTTTGGTGTTTGGTGGACTGTGGCCTTTGGAGAAAGGACTCCATAGCTGCTCGAAAATCATAATTTTCCTTTGCCGACGAAATATACAGATACGATTTGATCTTACAACATTACCGTGAATGAGAAGGATATTTCGGTGCTACACAGGTAATGGCAACAACCGGAGAAAGGTTATGGGTGTGACTGATCCTCACGAAATCCAGCCTGTTGATCATGAAGCCAGGCGTTCAGTGACTTTCATATTCTGTTCAACAGTATTCTGTTTAAGAGTTTTCCTGGTATTGAGAGAACAGTAATGCCCCTGTATTTCTCAGATTTGCTGAGATCTCTCTTCTCTGGCAAATAGATGAAGTGTCTTACTTTCCAGTCTGTTGGTACTTGTTCTTTCTCCTAAATGTTGCTAAAGATAGTGTGGAACATCTCTTTCATTGCCCCAGATAGAGCGTTGTCAGGTCTTGCTGATTTTCCACTTTTCGTTTTTCTGATGGTCATGCTGAACTCATCAATTGTCGCTCTGTCAACATTGGTTAGGATGTTCGCAGGTGCTCCTTTATGTTTGGCAGGTTCAGTAGAGCTGGTCGACTCAAGAGTTCCTTAAAGTGTTCTACGCATCGGTTTCTCTGTTCTCCATGTTGGTGTTTGGTTTGTCTTCCTCGCTTTACACCGACTGTAGTTGGATTTTCTACCGTAGCAGTTCAATTCGATCGCAATAGACGTATGTCGAACGCACCTTCCCTTAGTCGAATATCAAAACACAATAATTCTAGGAGAAAGTGGTCTATTTATATAAAAGAAATGGAAATACAAACATTTACCTGACAATTATTACGTCTTCCAAGTCGAAATAACTCTGATGAGTATCCGAGTTCAAACGATTAGGTGAAGCTAGTATACTGCGACGATATCAAATTCAAATATAGCTGTAGCCATATTATATATCAAATTTAAACAACATGTGTACAGTTCAGAAGCAAACATAAAAACTTCAATATAAGTACAAAATATAGAAATAATTGTAGAATCCTTTTTGAATGTTTTGTTTTTTGGAAAATCCCTCCATGTTTACATATTTTTGTTATGACATGACGGACTTTTTCTGTTGACATTTTTGGTATTTTATTTGATTCCAATTTGAGAATTTATCATTGTATATTGTTATTATTTCTATATTTTGTACTTATATTGAAGTTTTTGTGTTTGCTTCTGAACTGTATATATGTTGTTTAAATTTGATCTTTAATATGGCTACAGCCATATTTGGATTGATACAGTGGTGGTTGGACTTAACGTCACTTATTCATCTTTGTCTTGGATACTCTTCGGAGTAATTGTAACCTGGAAGGTGCATCAATTCCAGACCGTTTTCTCCTAGAATTGTTGTGTTTTCTGGACTTTGAACTGGGAGATACGCGTTCGGATTGCACTTACTGGAAACCATTTGAACTGCCACGGTAGAAATCCATTTATAATAATAACAATATACAATGATAAAATCTCAAAATGGAATCAAATAAAATACCAAAATGTCAACAGAAAGAGTCAGTCATATCATAACACAAATATATAAACATGGAGGGATTTTCCAAAAAACAAAACATTCAAAAAGGATTCTACACCGACCGCCCTGGTTCATGATCTTTTCGAATATGCTTCTTTGTTTTATCATATGGTTGACTCATGTTAAATTCTCTTGCAGCTTTTTCCACCGCCATTGCTAGAACGTCCACTAATTTATGTTTGTCGTCTCCTCTTCACTTGCTTGTTTACTTTTATGTATTCAGCTTGTGACCTGACTTTCTCCACTTGTGTTCGGCCGATATTGATAGTCGACATTTTGTTTTTCATCTCTTGAATATTATCCAGAGTATTGGCAGAGATCAATTACTTGTTATTGGGCCTCCTTTAGCTCAAAACCTTGCAGCTGTTCTTCGAGTTAGGGTTGACTATGAACACCACTAAAAACCAATTACGTTCTGGTTTTAACTAGTTGTCCTGTCGTGAACCAAACGCAGACACGAGGAGATAATCCAGATGAAGGAGTATATTTGCTGACGATTTCGCGGTATTGATAGAATACCTAAATCATGCCAAAGAGAACGGCAAAAGCGAGATGGCGCCCGCGCAGCACGAAAGGTGCGTGTACAGAAGTACGAATAAACCAGAAGTTGAATAAAACAACCACTGGTACAATTGGTTATAATAATAAGTCCTTCTATTTAACTTGTTTTCTTCGTAAAAATCCAGTCACTACAGCCGCATGACATGTTGAAGTTTGTGTTTCATTAATCAATTTTCGATTGTTGAACACATTAGATCATGCAAAGCCTGGAGGCTATCCCTGAGAGCTATCTTGAATTAGTTGGGTTTGCCAGTATCCCAAAAAATTACCACATTAACCATATTAAAGTTTTGTAATTCTATATGCTATTAGTCCGGAGACCCTTTAGTTT